GGTTAGGTTTAGGGTTAGCGTTAGGGTTAGGTTAAGGGTTAGGGTTAGGGTTAAGGTTACGTTTAGCGTTAGGTTAAGGGTTAGCGTTAGGTTTTTTGTTACTTTAACGGTTAGGGTTAGGTTTAGGGTTAGGTTAAGAGTTAGGTTTAGGGTTAGGTTTAGGGTTAGGTTTGGGGGGCTTAGGGTAAGGTTTTCGCTTTATTTTTACATTTTTCGAACTTTTTCGTCGCGCTGTGATGACGTCAAAGGCGCGATTTTGTCGATCGCGCTTTTGCCGTCCGCGCTTTTGACGGGTCACGGTGCAATTCAGCTGATTCTATCTGGTAGGGGCGAAACGATAGCGGTGGCTGTGGGAGGCTCCGCCCACCCACCCGTGATGACATCATCATGTCCCATTTTTGATGCTCTGCACATGCACAGGAGATTCTGTGCACACTCACATTTGCAAACCAGTAGCGAAGGTAAGTTGATTTCACCCCTGAGCAAGTCTTAGCTAACTTTGTAGGCTGACTGTGTCTCAGTTCTGGTGAATCTTGCTGGGTGATGTAATTTTTCCAGATGCCATGTGGTGAGTTCTGTTTCTAGATGGGCAGAGGGCTAATCCCTATCATGTCCTGAGGACCATGTCTTAATCCCATCACCCTGGAGTTGAAGGGGATAGATCTTTGTTATGTAGAAAAGACTGATTCAGGCCTTAATGGCCCATTGATAAAGGGGAGGGGGGGTTATTGAGTTTCTGCCTCCCTTTTAGGGGGAAATATTCTGTCCTTTTAATATTTCCTAAAATATCCCATTTTCCTAGGAGAGGGGTGGGTGCTAACTTCCTACACAACGAAATGAAATTTCAAATAGGGAGTCCTTGACTTATGACTATAACTGTGCCCAGAATCACAGTTGTAAATCGTGCTAATCATTAAGCAGGTCATTGTTTGACCTACCTGATTTTAGGATATTTTTTGCAGAGGTCATTAAAAGAATGCCACCAGCATTAAGCAAATGCCACAGTCGTTAAGCAAATCCATTGTTCTCATAAGGTGTTGTTGTTTTTTTAACTGGAAACTAGAAATAAACCAGTTTCCAGCAAAAAAAATATATCTTAAATTGCAGTCACATGACTGAAGGATGCTGAAAATGGCCATATAAGTGGGCCGGTTGCTAAGCTTTCAGGTATGATTACAAGGCAGCGGGGGTTAAGATGGTGATGTCAGAACTTTCAATCTGGGTCATAAGTTTCTTTTGGTGGGGGGGTCAGTCATACCGTCAAATGGTTGCTAAGAGACCGGTCATACAGGTGGTCAGGATCTTTGCCCATCAATATCACTCTGTCATACTGAGCAGAACTGAACCAAATTTGGCAAGAAGGAAGAAACTGGCAGAAGAAAGATTGCTAGTTAGAAAATAGGTCTGGATTCAGCCAGGGTCCATGGGGAGGGGAAATGCCCCAATGTATCTCTATGAAAGTGGAAGGGAATGGTAGCTTAGAACAGGGCTCTCCAAATTTGTCAAGTTGACCGGTGTGGCTGGCTCTGGAATTCTGGGAGCTGAAGTCCACAAGTCTTAAAGGCTAACAAGTTGCAGTTATCCTGTGTAGGATATTTATTTATGTATTGATTGGATTTATATTGCCGCCTATTCACCCATGGCAACTCAAGGCAGCTTACAGAATATAAAACCACATTTTAAAACAATAAAAGCTAACAAAAAGAATCAAATAAATTAATACAGTACAATATAATAAAATCATCCCTGCCCCGACAAAAGCAGATCACACGAGCCATTTAATGGGTTCCATCCTGCTCTGGGTTCCCCAGGCCCGCTGGCACAACCAGGTCTTCATTGCCTTCCGTAGGAGTGTTAGAGAGGGGGCTGTTCTAATCTCCAGGGGAATGATGTTCTAAAGAGAGGGGGCCACCACGGAGAAGGCCCTTCTTCTGGATTCCACCAGGTATATCACCCTCTGGAATGGGACCCGCAACACCCCCGCTCTGATGGATCGAGTAGATGGGACCTGCAATGTTGTTGACTGCTCCACCCTTAAATCTGCTTCTCTTCTGGTCACATGACCCAGAGAAGAGCTATTGGAGAGAATTCCAAAAAGGTTCTACATCTTTTCCTCTCTTTTTTTTTTTTAAGAAGCAAAAACTTTCTATTGATAAGAGTGGAGGTTTTTAAGAAGACATTAGACAGCCATTTGTCAGGAATGATATAGGCTCTTCTGAGCAGGGGGTTGGACTAGAAGATCTCCAAGCTCCCTTCCAACTCTGGTATTCTGTATTCTGTACGATGAGAAAAAAGAATTAGATTTCAGCTTCTGAATGCTGCCCTGTTCCTTATGGTGCTCTGGTCAACCATCCAGATGTTTGGACTGAAATACTGAAATTCCACTACACTCCGTTTTGTAAGGCTGCAAATTTTAATTGGTTAATTGTTTAAGCATATGCTAACAGGATGCTCAAGGTAATGGAGGAAATCTTTTTAAAAAAATGAAATATTGAATTTACTTGCCCACTAAAAATGCAAGATAGCAGGTATGCCGTGAAAAGAGGCATTTCCATTCTTCCCACAGAATGCCTCTTTTTCAGGATTATGCATACATTTGCTAAAACAAGGATTAGAAGATGAGGAGGGGCAGACAAATTTGATTGAATCTTTTCTGGGATGGTAGCAGAAAAATTGATATGTGATCAGTTGATTTGCGGCTTCTTATCTAGCTTAGTTTCTGCCTGGAAACCACTTTTGGACTTTTTGCTTGACGCAGAAAGAAATGAAACTTTTCTTTATTGGTTACATTTATATGAGACAACTCTGGACTGGTTTGATTTGGGGATTAGAATGATCTAGGCTTATAGAAATACTGTTTTATATTTGTATCTGTCCTGAAGAAAGTTGGAAGTTACTCTTTTTTAATTTTTCACCCTTTTTCTTTTTCTTCTGCACTCCTAATTTTGTTATTTTTCTGATCTTTCCCCCCTTTAATTCTCTTTTTTCTGATTCTTTATATTTTATCCTTTATGTTGAAATTTAATAGTTTTTTAAAATTGCATTGGAGGTTATAGTAGTTCTCCTTTTTTATAGTAGTATATAGTAGCTATGGTTCCACCACAAAACCGCGTTCGACTAAAGGGCGCTCGACGAAACCGCGTAGGTGACGTCATCACAGCGCGACAACAGCATGGAGAAAAAAGCCCGCTGTATAAGCTTTTTTAAAAAACTATTAAATTTCAACATAAAGGATAAAATATAAAGAATCAGAAAAAAGAG